ATTTCAGCTCACTAGTCATCACTGACCTTGCTCAAGTCACCTCCAGAGCAGATATTCCGCTTTGCTCCTACAAACCCAAACCCTGAGCCAGTCGATACAGGCACGACTCACACCTTCTCTCTGACACCAGGGGCCAACTCACCCCAGGCTCTTCAGTATGCACCAACCCACTTCCTTCTCATGCTTTGCTCCTCTCCTCCCTCACTCTTTGGTGCGCAGCTCATCTCCCTGCATCTGAAAAAACAGTATCAAGCAATCACCTGGATGCTAATACCTAATAGAGGTGTAACTAATACCTTCTAGAGCCTAACTACCTAAGCTAAAAAATAATAAACATTAAGCCCCACACATTCAGGCCTTAACAACCTGGACACCCAAACTGCTTGACTATCTCTTCACAAACCTCTTCTAGATGGCTCCAGCCTCCCCTCGCATGGAAGTGACCACCCTTCCCTGCTGAGGGCTGCTACTTGACTTCAAATGCTCCATCTGTGCCTCAACAGTCACAGACAGCATAGCAACATGAACCACAGGCTCTCATTGCTATTCTTCTCCCAACCCCACAGTTGCTATACCCTCCAGAGACAGCAGCTCCAACTCAACTCAACTGCACAGAGACACAACACATTGAGGAAACGCTCAGCAAGAAAAATTACTCCTGCAATGCAAGTGCCACCAGGCAGCAAGTCATACAGGACAGCAAGCGTGAAAAAAGTGTTCAAGAAGCACCCAGAAAGTCGCTCCTGTCAAGTCAACAGGTTTGGACCAGACCTCCTTGCTTTCTAAACTTCTTCTCAGGAAGAAGCTTAGGTGTAGCTGGATCCAGTCTTCACCTCCAACTGTAAAGAGAAGCTCAGAGCCTTGGTTCTGCCACAGAATACATTAATTGCACCTCAAGCTGGGTGCCTCTGCAGAGGGACCCCACCTGTACTGTAACTCCACCTTTAAAAGGCTCACAGTCTGACCACATGCTTGTACATTCAACTGCTCATCCGATTACCTCCCACAACAATGACCATCTCATTCTGATTTATTCTATGTTCCCCTATCTCAGGGTCCCCGTAACCATCAGTCACTTGTTGTCTGGACAATTTCTCATTGTTCTCTTCCGGTTGTTTCTCAGCTTGATAGTTCTTCCACAGCCTGATTTTGTCCAATATCTCCAACTTAAGTTTCAGTTAACGCATCTTCCCATTGTAGATTATTTTGGGTCATTATCTTGTTGTCTGCATCTTATTTCAACATTACTGCGGGTGGTAGAGTGAAAGTCTAACTAAGCTTCATCACAGGAGTTCAGCTAAAGATAAGTTAAAACTGCAGCCTAAGGCCTTATCACTCAAGCTACTCATGCTAAGTCGTCAAAAGTCAAGATACTTAGGTCAAGCAGCTCTCAGTTTGCAGAAGTCTTTAATACATATACAATTCAAACGGGTATCCCTGCAATTAACACATTTATCTCAATATTCCTACAGACAATCCTTTTCTGATTTCAACACCAAGGAGGCCATAAGGCAGCTCCAGAAAAGAGTAAAAAATTACAATTTGTGACAAGAGGCTACCGTCAAAACTGGCACAGACAACTGGCACAAGAAGCCTTGATGTAGACCTAGGAACCAAGGATGCAGGGAACAAGGCACAGAAAAAGGGGTTGCTGCAAAAGAGATGTCTTGTGAGTGGTGCTGAGAACACTGACACTAAAGAGGAGCCCACCAATGCCCAGCCAAGGCAGCACGTTACTGCACACACCCAGCAGGGGCGGGCCCACGCACCTAACACAAACATTGCTTGCTTTGCCTTCTCCTGACACACAGCATGGGCATTTACAGTTACCTTTTTACACACATACGCCTATTGGTACAGATTTTGAGGGAATAACAAACACCTGCAGCCACCCCCAGCGTCTGTCCCCCAGAGACAATGTCTCACCTCATGATTAAAAGAGGTGCAGATATTTACAGACATACAATAAAAATACTTCTCCTGTAAAAATCCCTGGCTTTTCCTTATGCGTGACTTCAACTTGCACCGCTGTGAAGTGACACCATTGCTTGTCTCTAGAACTCAGGTATAATTTAACGGTCTAGGCTTAAGTATATCGGGTTAAGGATCTAGGGCTAAACTTCTAGGGTTGAGGATCTTGGGTCTGGGGTCCCGAGTATGGGCTTAAGAGTCTCGTGCTTAGGGTCTAGGGTTAACCGCCTAGCGTTGAACATCTAGGGTTAAGGGTCTAGTATTAATAGTCCTTAAACCTTTAACTCTTAAGCCTTTAATGCTAGGCAGTTCACAGTAGACTGTTAACCACAGAGCCTTAACCATTTACTCTTAACCCCAGATTGTCAAGCCTAGAGGCTTAATACTAGACTGTAAACAACAGACACGTAAAATGAAATTATGGTTCTAGAGTCATGTGAAAAATGTTGAGACATAGTCATCAAGGGTCATCACAGTCTAGGGTTAATGTTGCAGGGTAAAGAGTCTAGAGTCTAGTGTCTAGGGTTTAGGCTGTATAATCAAAGGTTAAGCTTTTAGGTAAATCATCTAGAGTAAAAGGGTTAGCGTTCAGGCTCTAGGGTCTACGGTTTAGTATCTAGGGTAAAGTACCTAGGGTCTAGACGATTTCCATAGATCCTTACCCCCAGACCCTATACCTTTTACTCTATGACACTTATATCTAAAACCTAGACTTTTACTCATGACCCTAGACGCTTAACTCTAGACCCTTAAGCCTACAGCCTAAACACTAGAGACTAGAACCTGGATCCTTTACCCAGACGCTTAACTCCAGACTCTTAAACCCTAGACCCTAAACCGCAGACGCTTAACACTAGACCCTAGGCCCTTAACCCTACACACTGGACCCTAGGCACCTAACCCTGGACACTAGACCCTACACACTTTACCCTAGACCCTTAACCCTAGATAATAAACCCTAGATACTAAGCCTTAACCCTTGACCTTTCACTCTAGAGGTTTTACTCTAGAAGCTCAACCCTAGACTCTTAATCCTTGGCCCTAATCCCTAGATCCTAGACCCTAGTCTGTTTACCCTAGACCCTTAAACCTAGACCATTAACACTTGACACTTAACCCTAGAAGTTTAACTGTAGACTCTAGACCATTACCATAGACCCATAACCCCAAACCCTGCACCCTTTATTCTATGACGAATCTAAAACCTAGACCTTGAACTCATTACACTAGACCCTTGATGCTTAACTCTAGACCCTTAAGCCTAGGTACTAAACCCTAGAGCCTTAACCCTTTTACTATAGATGTTTTACACTAGAAGCTTAGCACTAGACCCCTAACCCTTGGCCCTAATCCCTAAATCCTAGATTCTAGACACTTTTCCCTAGTCCCTGAACCCTAGATCACTATCCCCTTACACTTAACCCTAGACAATTTATGATAGACCCTTAACTCATGACGCTAGACCCTGCACCCTGGACACATAACTCCAGACCCTGGACCCTTAACCCTAGATGCTTAACTCTAGACTCTTAGGCCTACAGCCTAAACCCTAGACACTTTACCCTAGACACTTAACTCCAGACACTTAAACCTAGACCCTTAACCCTCAACACTAGAACATAAACCCTTAACCCTCAGTGGCAGTCCTGCCCATCTAACTAACAGAGACTTCCACGGAGCTTTCTCAGGAAAGTCCTAGGGAGACTTCAAAGGAGAGTCCTACAGAAAGTCCTTGGAAGGATCCCTTGAACGGTGCTCGCCTGCTGAGCACCCCCGACAGCCCCCTGGCTGCCACACTGTCATCCACCCTGCATGGCCCAACTGGTCAGGGAGGCACCGCAGAGGCAGTCTGTGGTGGTTCTGACCCACTGGCCCCTGTCAACAAGCGTCATCTGCTACTGGGTGGTACCAGACAGGACACCGTGAGTGGACAGCAGGACAAGCACCCCAGGCCAGCCAGCACCCACAGGACACAAGAGACCAGCCCCCCCCCAGGGTCTCCAGCCCGCTGCCAGTAGTCCCAAGACCCCCAGCTGAAGGCAAGAGGGAGAGAGCACCAAGCGGGCTGTGCTTGTTGCCCACGGGGGGGTTGGGGGGGGGCAAATCCAAGAGCAGGGACTGCCACAGCAGCTGTGTGTGCATCTGACCTCCTGCGACCCCTTGGGCCCGGAGGAGGAGCTGCACAGCTGCACCCACCCTGCTGCAGGAGCAGGTAGAGTACGTGCCCATCACAACCCAGCAGCACAGACACTACAGGCCCAACTTCAGTATTTTGTGGAGAGAGAGAGACAGACAACAGGCACAGGTCTCCATAACTCACTGGCCCAGCACCAACCCTGTAGCATCCACACACAGTAGAGATCTGGAGGCAGCTCAGCCCAGCCCTCTCCGAGATCCCAGTTTCCAACTGAACCCATTAAGAAAGTAGGTGATGTCTTTGCAGCAACTCCATCACTGCATTTAAGCAGCCAGAGGGGGCTGCAGAGGTTAACACAGCCCCTGCCTACCCCACAGGTGGCTTACCTGTGATGGGGAGTGAGAGGACGTGTAGACAGGGCATCACCAGCACTGCTGCTGCAATAGTGTAACTGCTGGTGAGGCTTCTGCTTTGCATGGGTTTAAGAGTGGGTGCTGGTCGATTTGGAATGGGAAGGTAGCTCTGCCTGGCAGCACCTCGCCATGTAGATGGCTCCTGGCTGCCCAAAATCCTCCCAGAGTCGTTGGGAGGCGGCAGCGTGCTCTGCCTGGAGAGGTTCGAAATGAGCAAAGAGGTTTTTAATTTAATCCTTGCCAGCGGAATGAGTGCACATCTGCCCCCCTCCTGGGACATACGGCATATGTAAACTGCTTTGGATGCCGTGTGTATTAGTTCAGAGTTTCCAGATGCCTCCAGATAAGAGTGTGAGGTAGGGAATGCTCTGCGGCTCCTGGAGGGAATCCCAGGGCTCTAAGCATCGAGGAGGGGGGAACCCCATGGGCAGGGGATGTGCCAAGGGGGCAACAAGTCTTCACCCCAACCTGATTAACAGTCTCTTCTCTCTTTGCAGCTGTTTGCAGACAAGGTCCCCAAGACAGCAGGTTGGTAAAGTGGCACTGGTCGTACTGTGGCTGCACAAACCCCCCCCCGTGTTTTCCCTTACTCCGGGTAAAACAAGCTGTTCATGGTGGTTTTCTTCTTCCTTTGCAGAAAACTTCCGTGCCTTGAGCACCGGTGAAAAGGGATTTGGCTACAAGGGGTCCTGCTTCCACAGAATCATTCCTGGGTTCATGTGCCAGGTGTGTGGTGCTCCTGCTGTGGGAGGAGGGTGGGTTTGGGAGTGGGTGCTGGTTGATTTGGGGTGGGAAGGCAGCACTGCCTCCTACCTGCAGCCTCTGGCTCAAGTGTCTTCTCCTGCACCCGTGACACAACCCACCACTTCTCTGCAGGGCGGTGACTTCACGCGCCACAACGGCACTGGCGGCAAATCCATCTATGGGGAGAAGTTCCCCGATGAGAACTTCATCCTGAAGCACACGGGCCCTGGCATCCTGTCCATGGCCAACGCCGGCCCCAACACAAATGGCTCCCAGTTCTTCATCTGCACCGCCAAAACCGAATGGTGAGCTGGGGGCTGTGAGGGTGAGCTCGGGGATCCCTGCCAGGCTGAGACACACCCGGCCTGGCGCTGAGGTCCCTGCACGGGGCCGGCAGGTGCCAACCGTGACCGCTGCTTCTCCTGCAGGCTGGATGGCAAGCACGTTGTCTTTGGCCGCGTCAAGGAGGGGATGAATGTGGTGGAGGCCATGGAGCGCTGCGGCTCCAAAGATGGCAAAACGAGCAAGAAGATCACTATCACCGACTGCGGGCAGCTCTCCTGAACCCTCCTCGGCCCCGCTGACCGCCCCTTGGCAGGCCGGGCACGGTGCCGGCTGCAGCCCACCCCATCCCACCCCATCCTGACCTACTGCTGCGCTTCCGCTGGGCCTCAGCCCCATGGGCATGGCCTGGCCAGGCTGCAGTTACCTTGATGAGTGAATAAAACGAGTTAAACCACAGCTGACCGTCTCGCCCCGCTCCTGAGCGGTGTCGGTGTGAGTGCAGCAGTGAAAACCTTCCCAAGCCCCCTGCCGTGCCTCATAGGAAGGTTCCGCCGCTGCCCGGTGCTGCACAAGAAGGTGCAGCGACGCCGCCGTTCGGTTTCAGCAAGGGCTCCGCGTCCCGCGCCGCCTCCCGCTCTGCACAGTCCAGCTCCACAAGGGACACCCGGCACCTCAGGCGCTCAGACAGACCGAGGGCAAGTCCTGCCTGACCAGCCTGATGGCCCTCTATAATGGAGCAACTGAACCGAAGAGTTACAGCTGTCATTTATCTAGACTTGTGTATGGTCTTTGACACAGTCCCCACAACAGCATTATCTCAAAATTGGAGATATGGATGTGATGGTGGGTAAGGAACTGACTGGATGGCCGTGGACTCCAAAGTGTAGGAGTCAATGGCTTGATGTCCAGATGGAGATCAGTGACAAATGGTGTCCTTCAGGGGTCTGTATTGGGACCAGCACTGTTTAATGTCTTCATCAGTGACAGAGTGGGATCGCATTCACCCTCAGAACAACTGCAGACAAAACTAAGCTGAGTGGTGCAATTGATAGGCCTGAAAGACTGGATGCCATCCAGAGGGACCTGGACAAGTTTGAGACATGGCTCCATGTCAAGCTCAAGAGGTTCAACAAGACCAAGTGCAAGGTTCTGCACATGAGTTGGGGCAACCCCCGATATCAGTACAGCCTGGGAGACGACGGCATTGAAAGCAGCCCTGAGAAGAAGGACTTGGGGGAACTGGGTGGATGAAAAGCTGAACATGAGCCAGCAATGTGCACTGGCAGCCCAGAAAGATGTCAACCCAAAACTGGGCTTTAATTACCCAGCAGCATGGCCAGCAGGTCAAGGGAGGGGATTCTCCTCCTCTGCTCCACTTTGGTGAGACTCCTCTGCAGGGCTGGATCCAGCTCTGGGTTCCCCAACACAAGGAAAAATCTGCTGGACTGAGACCAGAGAAGGCCACAGAGATGATCCAGCTCTGCCCTGGAGACAGGCTGAGAGAGTTGGGATTGGTAAGTCTGGAAAAGACTCTAGATAAACCTTATTGTTGCCTTTCAATACTTATAAGAAAGATGGGGACAGAATTTTCAGTAGGGCCTGTATTGACAGGACAAGGGATGATGGTGTTAAACAAAAGGGGAGGAGAGTCAGACCACATCACAGAATCACAGAATCACCAAGGCTGGAAAAAGACCTTTAAGATCATCAAGTCCAGCCTATGACCTGACACCACACCAGCCAGACCATGGCACTAAGTGCCACATCCAGCCTTTCCTTGAACACCTCCAGGGATGGTGCCTGCATCACTTCCCTGGGCAGTCCATTCCAATGTCTGAGCAGCCCCTTTGTGAGGAAGTGCTTCCTTATATCCAACTTAAACCTCCCCTGGAGCAGCTTCAGGTCAGGTCCTCTTATCGTGTAACTGGTTGCCTGGAAAAAGAGCCCAACCCCCACCTGACCACACCCTCCCTTCAGGGAGTTGTAGAGTGAGAAGGTCCTCCCCAGGTCTCCTCTTCTCCAGACTAAACAACCCCAGCTCCCTCAGCCTCTCCCTGTAAGACTTTCACTCTAGTCCCTTCACCAGCCTCATTGTCTCCTCTAGACCTGCTCCAGCACCTCAAGATCCTTCTTGAACTGAGGGGCCCAGAGCTGCACCCAGGACTCTAGGTGAGGCCTCACCAGTGCTGAGCACAGGGAGAGAATCACATCCCTGCTCCTGCTGGCCACACTATTCCAGATACAAGCCAGGATGTCATCAACCTTCTAGGCCACCTGAGCACACTGTTGGCTCATGTTCAACGAGTTGTCAACCAGTGGCTCCCAGGTCCTTCTCTGCCAGGCCACTGGCACCTGGCAAGAAACTGTTCATGCTGCAGGTGGTCAGACACCGGCACTGGTAGATGCCCCATCCCTGAACACACACAAGGCCAGGTTGAACAGGGCTGTGAGCAACCTCACCTAGCTGAAACTGTCCCTGCTCCCTGAAGTTGGGCTGGGTTTTCAAAGAACCTGAAGGTACACACGCACCCCCACAGGCTCCCACAAGGAAGCTACCTACCAAGACTAAGAGCTCATGCTGGGTATGCCCTTCTCCCGCTGCCCCTCCCCAGCCCCCAGTGAAGCCCAGCTCCAGAATGGACACCCCAAGCAGTTGTGTGGAAAACCGGCTCTGGGCACAGGCACAAGTTCCCCAATCTGGGAGCACGGAGTTCCTCCCAGAGCTTGGTATCCCAGCAGTACTTACTTAGGTGGCCCTACAGTGGGAATCTCCCAAACTGGGAATACTGGAGACTGAATGCACATAAGCACCCTCAAGACTGGAAACACTGGGATAATGCTAGGGCTGGGTACCCGTAAGTTGGGAGCACCATCCCAGTCTCTCGCATCACTACAAGCACTAGGACCACCATGTTCCCAGCTCAGCCCAGATCAGCAGTCACTGTTGGCACCTGCTGACATACACCCAAAGGTGGGGAGCACACTCCTCTCCTCCCATGCCTGAAGGGAATGAGTCACATCCTAATTTACAACACCAAGAGGCCCAGGGACCCCAGGTTCCAGCTGTGGGCACCTGATCACTCTGGACCCGACTACAGACCCAGTGCAGGGGCAATACGATGGGAGCCCTCATGGCCACTTCCCACCCAGCCTGTCACATCAGGGCAAGACGGTCAGCTGTGGTTTAACTCGTTTTATTCACTCATCAAGGTAACTGCAGCCTGGCCAGGCCATGCCCATGGGGCTGAGGCCCAGCGGAAGCGCAGCAGTAGGTCAGGATGGGGTGGGATGGGGTGGGCTGCAGCCGGCACCGTGCCCGGCCTGCCAAGGAGCGGTCAGCGGGGCCGAGGAGGGTTCAGGAGAGCTGCCCGCAGTCGGTGATAGTGATCTTCTTGCTCGTTTTGCCATCTTTGGAGCCGCAGCGCTCCATGGCCTCCACCACATTCATCCCCTCCTTGACGCGGCCAAAGACAACGTGCTTGCCATCCAGCCTGCAGGAGAAGCAGCGGTCACGGTTGGCACCTGCCGGCCCCGTGCAGGGACCTCAGCGCCAGGCCGGGTGTGTCTCAGCCTGGCAGGGATCCCCGAGCTCACCCTCACAGCCCCCAGCTCACCATTCGGTTTTGGCGGTGCAGATGAAGAACTGGGAGCCATTTGTGTTGGGGCCGGCGTTGGCCATGGACAGGATGCCAGGGCCCGTGTGCTTCAGGATGAAGTTCTCATCGGGGAACTTCTCCCCATAGATGGATTTGCCGCCAGTGCCGTTGTGGCGCGTGAAGTCACCGCCCTGCAGAGAAGCGGTGGGTTGTGTCACGGGTGCAGGAGAAGACACTTGAGCCAGAGGCTGCAGGTAGGAGGCAGTGCTGCCTTCCCACCCCAAATCAACCAGCACCCACTCCCAAACCCACCCTCCTCCCACAGCAGGAGCACCACACACCTGGCACATGAACCCAGGAATGATTCTGTGGAAGCAGGACCCCTTGTAGCCAAATCCCTTTTCACCGGTGCTCAAGGCACGGAAGTTTTCTGCAAAGGAAGAAGAAAACCACCATGAACAGCTTGTTTTACCCGGAGTAAGGGAAAACACGGGGGGGGGTTTGTGCAGCCACAGTACGACCAGTGCCACTTTACCAACCTGCTGTCTTGGGGACCTTGTCTGCAAACAGCTGCAAAGAGAGAAGAGACTGTTAATCAGGTTGGGGTGAAGACTTGTTGCCCCCTTGGCACATCCCCTGCCCATGGGGTTCCCCCCTCCTCGATGCTTAGAGCCCTGGGATTCCCTCCAGGAGCCGCAGAGCATTCCCTACCTCACACTCTTATCTGGAGGCATCTGGAAACTCTGAACTAATACACACGGCATCCAAAGCAGTTTACATATGCCGTATGTCCCAGGAGGGGGGCAGATGTGCACTCATTCCGCTGGCAAGGATTAAATTAAAAACCTCTTTGCTCATTTCGAACCTCTCCAGGCAGAGCACGCTGCCGCCTCCCAACGACTCTGGGAGGATTTTGGGCAGCCAGGAGCCATCTACATGGCGAGGTGCTGCCAGGCAGAGCTACCTTCCCATTCCAAATCGACCAGCACCCACTCTTAAACCCATGCAAAGCAGAAGCCTCACCAGCAGTTACACTATTGCAGCAGCAGTGCTGGTGATGCCCTGTCTACACGTCCTCTCACTCCCCATCACAGGTAAGCGGCGACCTCCCAATCCCAATTCGGCCAGCCCCCACTCTTAAACCCATGCAAAGCAGAAGCCTCACCAGCAGTTACACTATTGCAGCAGCAGTGCTGGTGATGCCCTGTCTACACGTCCTCTCACTCCCCATCACAGGTAAGCCACCTGTGGGGTAGGCAGGGGCTGTGTTAACCTCTGCAGCCCCCTCTGGCTGCTTAAATGCAGTGATGGAGTTGCTGCAAAGACATCACCTACTTTCTTAATGGGTTCAGTTGGAAACTGGGATCTCGGAGAGGGCTGGGCTGAGCTGCCTCCAGATCTCTACTGTGTGTGGATGCTACAGGGTTGGTGCTGGGCCAGTGAGTTATGGAGACCTGTGCCTGTTGTCTGTCTCTCTCTCTCCACAAAATACTGAAGTTGGGCCTGTAGTGTCTGTGCTGCTGGGTTGTGATGGGCACGTACTCTACCTGCTCCTGCAGCAGGGTGGGTGCAGCTGTGCAGCTCCTCCTCCGGGCCCAAGGGGTCGCAGGAGGTCAGATGCACACACAGCTGCTGTGGCAGTCCCTGCTCTTGGATTTGCCCCCCCCCAACCCCCCCGTGGGCAACAAGCACAGCCCGCTTGGTGCTCTCTCCCTCTTGCCTTCAGCTGGGGGTCTTGGGACTACTGGCAGCGGGCTGGAGACCCTGGGGGGGGGCTGGTCTCTTGTGTCCTGTGGGTGCTGGCTGGCCTGGGGTGCTTGTCCTGCTGTCCACTCACGGTGTCCTGTCTGGTACCACCCAGTAGCAGATGACGCTTGTTGACAGGGGCCAGTGGGTCAGAACCACCACAGACTGCCTCTGCGGTGCCTCCCTGACCAGTTGGGCCATGCAGGGTGGATGACAGTGTGGCAGCCAGGGGGCTGTCGGGGGTGCTCAGCAGGCGAGCACCGTTCAAGGGATCCTTCCAAGGACTTTCTGTAGGACTCTCCTTTGAAGTCTCCCTAGGACTTTCCTGAGAAAGCTCCGTGGAAGTCTCTGTTAGTTAGATGGGCAGGACTGCCACTGAGGGTTAAGGGTTTATGTTCTAGTGTTGAGGGTTAAGGGTCTAGGTTTAAGTGTCTGGAGTTAAGTGTCTAGGGTAAAGTATCTAGGGTTTAGGCTGTAGGCCTAAGAGTCTAGAGTTAAGCATCTAGGGTTAAGGGTCCAGGGTCTGGAGTTATGTGTCCAGGGTGCAGGGTCTAGCGTCATGAGTTAAGGGTCTATCATAAATTGTCTAGGGTTAAGTGTAAGGGGATAGTGATCTAGGGTTCAGGGACTAGGGAAAAGTGTCTAGAATCTAGGATTTAGGGATTAGGGCCAAGGGTTAGGGGTCTAGTGCTAAGCTTCTAGTGTAAAACATCTATAGTAAAAGGGTTAAGGCTCTAGGGTTTAGTACAGCGGGCACGGTCCGCTGCCTGGCCCGGCCGCAGCCGCCTGCAAAGAGGCAGAAACCTTCCAGCCACCCAGCTGGGATCCCCTGCCTGGGTGAGGGACAAAGGACCAGCCCTACAGCGAGGTGATGGATCCCGCCATGGCCGGGGGTCGGAATGGACCTCTTCAGATCATTCATCCTGCTGCAGGTGACCCCGTGTTACCAGATGACACAGACAGGGTTGTATCCAGGCAGGTTTTGGATCTCTTCAGCCGACTCCAGAGAGCCCCCTGGACGGTCTGCCCCAGGGCTCCCTCGCCCTCTAAGTCAAGTTTTTCCTGATTTTAGAGAGACCTCCCCATGTTCTAGTTTGTGCCTATCACCCCTCGTCCTGTCACTGGGCTCCACAGCAGAGTCTGACCTCATCCTCTGGACACCCAGCCTTCAGGTATCTATAAGCGTTGATGACGTCCACTCTTCTATAGGCTGAACAGCCCCAGGTCTCTCAGCCCTTCCTCATACAAGAGATGCTCCAACCCCTCACCATCCTTCAGCCCTCCACTGGACTCTACTGGGGAGCCCTGACCCAGCCACCACGCTCCAGCAGTGGCCTCAGCAGGGCAGAGAAGAGGGGCAGGAGAACCTCCCTTCACCTTAATGCACCCTAGTGCACCACCAGCCCTCCTGGCCACATGGGTGGCTCCTGGTTCACCTGGTGTCCTCCCAAATGAGAAACCAAGGGGGACATTTGTGTGTGTGAGTGAACTGTACCGTGACCAGCGACACACACAAGCCCCGCTGAAATGAAATCCTTTAATAGCCAGGGATAAGGATATAGCACAGGGACCTGGGGGGGACGGGAGGAGCAGAGGGGGGCAGGGGGGG